TAATTGAGCGATTACCGTGGTGAAGGAAAACTGCGCCTCAAATGTTTCCCCAGCGTGCAGCCAATAGTGACCACTGTCAAAGTGCGGGGGACTCAACCCCCTACATTTTCTCAGTAGAAACTCACGCCCCCCTTGCCCCTCCCCCCACGGCTGATGCGCCTACACGATACGCTAAGAATTTCCTCTCAGATGACAATAAATGCTCGTGCCAAATAGTTTTTGTGTGTGTGTGTGAGCTAGCAGATTATGCCACTAAAGCTTTTGCCGTGCATTGTAAGAGAATGTGTGCCTGCATTTTATGCCTATTTCAAAGTAATAGTAGCCTATGAGGTTTTTTTTCTCTCTCTCCGACATGGCTGGGCATAACGAAAGCCTTCTGAGCTATGCACATAAATCTAGTCATCGTCCTCGTTCGAACTGCTATCTTCATGGCAAATCACAAGGCTGTATGCGAGCTGCTGTAACAACAGCATTCACGTTCCCTCCGCTTTTGCTAGCCACATCGTTATTGACATGGTGCATTTATTGATTCATCGATATGAATTAGCCCCACACGCACGCAAAAACGCCATTAATAATGCACGTGCATGAAGTAATACGCGACCGGCAATGCTATCATTTTAAACGCACGCTAGTGCTCTTCACCTCACCTCGTTCACCTAACGGTAGCCACGTGATTGGCTGGCTTGTGTCACGTGATTTGTCCTCACGGCCAGATCGCGCCAAGCTCCCACTGCGTATTCAGAGCGGTCGGGAGTGCTCCGAGTCGGAGGACGACGCTCTGGAAGAGCCAACCGAAGGTAGTCGGAGCACTTAAGTTCTACCAACCGAAGGCGCAGCCACTTTTCAGAGCGCTCACATACTCTCAACCGAATACGCCATTAGACGGAAATGGAATGGCTAATGAATAGGTTTCAACGCGACACATGGAAAATGTCCACACCATCACAGCGACTATCCGAGAAAGGTCGCGGGGAGTGACATGATAGTTCAGTGGTGACGTTTGTTCGTTGATTGTATAGAGTGCAATGAAGCGTGACTGAAACTTGTCGCACAATCCTGTAGCACGAATGAACGTTCAAAGCAACAATTTATCCCTTGGACTGTAGAAGACATCGCGATGAGAGCTTCTGTATGAAGGCGAGCTCGTTGCCGACATTTCTCGAGCCTTGCGATGAACTGCGCTGAGCGGTTCGCAGTCTCGTAATAGTTACAGTCTCGCAATCAAATAATGTTGTGGTAGGTGTCAAGGGAAAATATCCTGAAATTTACTGACAACTAAAGGGCAGATGCACTATCCCTGGACAAAGCAAATTGTTGAGTTGTGAAATGTATTTCAGCTGCCGTAATTTATTTGCCTAGTGCCGACATTTATCGCATGATTTCTTAAGCACGAGTACTTATTGTTGCAAATATGTGTTTTCATGGTATAACCGTCGTTCAAGCGCACGAATAAACAGAAAGGAAGAGAGAACAAGCGCTTTCTTTCGACTAAATGATTTATTGTAAAGGGAAGAATATGTAAGCACGCAATCAAAAACAACGCATGCATGTGCAGGCAAAAAGTACACCCGAGACAACTCGAGACCACAGAGTAAAAGCAGAAAGATTATTCAGAAACATAATCTAGAAAACCAAACTCTTTGTCGTGCAGCAATACCAAAGGCTCGATGACGCATTGCTCTCCTCTTTTTCTTATGTGAAGAGCTTCCGTGAACTGACGAGTTAATTGAATGATAGATGAAAAAACCACTTCAGTATCCTGAAAAAGAGAATAGCAGCCACACTCTCAGCAATGAACCGCGAGTTGCGATGCCCCCTAGGATTTCAAAGAACAATCGTGCTATAGGACGAACATTGATGCATTTTCCTGACTGACCTATGTACACTTTGCCACAGCTAAAAGGAGTCATGTAAACAACGCCCACTGCGCAGTCCACGAAACTTTTGCTGTGTTTCAAGCACACGCATGCGTTGTTTCTGATTGCCTGCTTATATACTCTTGCCTTTCCAATAAATTGTTCAGTTGAGAGAAAACGCTTGTCCTCTCTTCCTTTCTGTTTATTCATGCGCTTGAACGGCAGTTATGCCATGCATATCCAACTAGCCCATCTTTTAATTCTGTTGCGTGTTTTCATCTCTCGTGGCGTAAAAAAGCGCTCATCCACTTTGCGCTGTTACGTGGTTCTATGCAATGAAGTTTCACACCTTTTGAAACTTTACCAGAGTTTGCCGAACCAAATGACCATTTATACTCCGCGAATAAGCGGTGCACAGCTTAGAGCTACCCAAAAACACTTCCTAAGTATGCTTGAAGTTCAAGTTATTCATGGCTTCATTGGCTGCTGATCCGCTACGTGAAACCTCGGCTCTCAGTTCAGCCAAGCTGTTTCTTCAGTTGGTTGAATCTTTCTTATCTGATCCCTTTCAGCAAGGTGATTTGACTAATAACAAGACAAGCAATTTTCATTACCAACACTTTACATTTGTTACCTTTTCAATGAGTACAGCGGTCCTTATTGTAGCTGTAGACATCAACAGAAGCGAAATTTTAATAAGCCTATGATGATCCAGTTTGAGATACAACGACGCACAGAAAACAAAGGACAAAACAAGCCACAGCTGTCCTCGTCCGTGTTCACTTGTGTGTTGTGTATAGTTGCACCCTCATGATGGCTTTTATGTCAATGCACCAACTCGTCCAACAGTCAACTGTTTACGAGAAACGAACTCTCAAGTTGAAAACTATCTCCAGCTATTTGTGTTCTTGTTTGCCCCTGGTTTCTAGGCGTTGGTGCCAACAAAACAACAACAACAACAACCATAACAACAGCAATAATAATAATAATAATAATAATAATAATAATAATAATAATAATAATAATAATAATAATAATAACAAGAACAACATTATTAACAATAATAACAACAATAACAATAGTATTAACAGGAATACCTTAGACTTGCCTGTGTTTTTCTTTAGACAAAGCTTACGTCACTTGAAATGTAACCACACGCTTGCGAAGTTGTGATTGAACTCTAACGGCGTGTACATGCACGCTCCCCGCATGTACCTGTTTGATGTGAAGGCTTCATATGGGAGTCCATGCAGTCTATGTGCAGTGCAAACTGTTTGCATAATGAAAACTAGTGGTTTAATTTATATGTGTCCTCTCCTTCGTTCCCATTTGGGATAATAAATATTTGAAAAGAACTAATTCCTCTGACTCTATTATATCAGTGTTGTTTTACACTTCTCCACCTTCCTTTTTTGCAGGTTAAAACAAAAGGCATATTATTAACAAGAACAATGCCTCCTTGTTAGCAACGCAGAATAAAACTACAGTGAACCAGCAATAAACGTTTATATAGCGTGGCTTATTGTCTTCTCAATACTTTCGCATTCTATTCCTGAATAATTGCATTACAGAACAACATACAGAAGACGTAAGAACACCAAAACAAGATGTTTATCTAATCAGTTAGCTGTCACGACAAAATGTTTCTAACTGTTAGCCCACCCACTAAGTTGATATTCTTCAAAACTTTACAAAACTTTACTTGCAAAGTGGGAGAACTCAGAGGGGCAAAGCTCGGAATGTTAGAACTGCATGATTTCTGTCTTATAAACTGGTATAGAAGCTCTGCTGATGTATCAACAAACCATTTATACTGGGAGATATCGCACAGGTAATAATACATTTCGAGAGGTGTTACCAGAGAAACAAAGTTATTGGAAGGAAACCCACAATCCTACGCGGCCCTTACCCTAAATTGTTACACACAATTACGTCACGCAAAGTCTGGTGAAGTCTGAAAAGCTGACAGCAAGATTAATGATATGGGCATACAATGTAGCGTGCTTGTTTTATAATCCTGCATACATTCTAGCCCAAGACATTCCAGAGTGTCGAAAACTGCATACAGTGCTACTTTTGGGGGATACATGACTAACTATGGCAATTTCAGAAACGTTTGTTATGAACAGTTGAGTCCCTTTGCCGTGTTTTCTGGACCGTCGAAGCAGTTGGAGTGAGCAAAACTGATTTGATATATGTTTGCCCACAGTGACTTCAAACGTAAAGGTCAAAGCACGCACTGCTGTGAGGATATTCAATGACGTGACACATTTCCCTAATTTGTCCACAAGTAACTTTTACTACAAATAAACACAGGGGAACCTAGTAAAAGTGTCAAGTCTTAGCTGTAGAATATTTCAGAGTATAAAGGGTGGTTTCACTGATGTTCATAATATCAATAAATATTTAGAAATCATACCGCAGCAAACAAGACTGAAGAAAATATTTCAGTGTCATCACAAGCAGGTGCTGAACTTTATTCACCCAACCGGTTTAACCTTAACCATTATTTTAATCGTTATAGCAATGTCTGATCCTACAGTAGCTGCTAGGGTACGGTTTTTTGTGTTCCCATATGTTAACGCGGTTCACAACCTCTTTTTTTTTTCACTTAAATAAATGTATTTTGTATCTCAGCTTGTGATGCCACTTTCCTCTTCATTGCATCAGAAGACACCAATGAACTGCACTGGCAATATAAAGACAGAAAGCATTCCTCACGTATAGGAATGTCAGTTTGTGCACAGAGTCACAGCATACAGCACCGCTACAATTCTAAGCGAATTGCTCGACGACGTCCGCATAGTAAGCGGAGCATGGCGATGTTTGTTGTGATCACTGTAAACTCGGGCGGAATATCAGCCGAGAGCATGGAACGTGACGTGTCAAGAGTCACTGACTTCTTGCGGCCTTGTCATACCACTCACGTGCGACGCCTTCACCAATATGGAGAGGAGGTGTAGGGTGGTACTGGATCCGGTGGTCGCTTTCTTATGATACAGATGATCCGTTCGGACCTAATGTATGCTCAAATATTACCTGGTCACGTTCAATGCTCCTTAAAACGTCAGGCTAATTTATCTTCAGGACCGGTATAAAAGCAACAGCGCTGGCTGCAAAGGTCCAGTCTTGTTCTCATCTCGACAGGAGGAACACTACCCATTCAACGAGCCACCATGTTCACCAAGGTGCAGTGGAGCTTGCCACTTTCGGGCAGATCACAAGTTATCAGACAGCGATGTTGACTATAGGCTAAAGCATTTTTTGTTTTGGAATTGTGCACATTGCAGGTCCTTCTCTGCTGCATTCTCGCCGTCGCCGCTTCTGCTCCAGTTGAGGAATACGTGAGTTTTCACTCAATGTCCACTCAATGTCTGCATCAGCTCACCGTAGAAGCATTTTTGCACCATGTGTGAGCTAGAACGGAAGTCTTGAAAGGTCGACTTCAGATTAACGGTTTGTTGACTTAGAAATGTATTTGCCATGAACAAGTTCACCTAACCTAAATATGAGTCCTCCTCAAATCATAAGGTGCAAATACGTGTCTAATTGACGAACAAAGTTAATATTACTCAATAACTTTTCATCACTAGAGATCACGCACCATCTGATTAAAGCATTTTTGAACACACACAAAAAAACAGAAATAGGAATAATCACGCATTAAAAGTCTTTGTACCGGAACTCTTAGCGATCACTGCAGCGCTCCGAAAATTAACACCATCAACAAGTTTCGCAGTAAAATTGACAAAATACTTACTGGTACGTTCTTTCCTATCAGGAAGTAAGGAATCGCATGTTCTGAGTGAACTGAAATGCTTATTCCTCCTCCCCAAATAAATTTAATTAGGTTTGTTTCACTTCCAGGACATAAGAGCCTATTTCTGAATGAAATGGAGGATGCACTGGCAAATATATATCTGAATGGCCTGGTTACTCATGTATTTCTGGCATACAAATTCATAATATCCGCTGGACTAAGGAGAAAATTGATGTTGGATGGATTTTCTGTTTCAATATGAATGGCCATATTAAAATTGGAGCTCCTCAATTGCCACGGAAACAGTAAGATATGTCAAACAAGAGAAGTTGAAGTTCAATACCTAGACTATGTTTCCAGGCTCTATATCTTAATTTTTATTTACACAGAGGTGATCTGGCAGCTTATCCTAACTGGTAATTTTGCGGAGTACATGAGAGTAGAGAATATTAGCTCAATTCCTTTACACATACTATGCGTTTCAGAAAAATACTTCAGACACCATTTGACGACTCCTTAGACTAGGTATATCTGTACCAAATGTGCTTTTGTTCGGGGCTTTGTACCTGAGCTACAGTGAGGGAAAGGTTGCCGATGCCTTGTGCGAGTTCATCAAATATTCAAATAGGTTGAGATCGTAGAGCCTACTCATAATCCTAATTTTTAAACTGCCTTTAAAGTTTTACTATTACTTTCTGAATCACAGGGCTCACTCATCTTTTAGTATTATTTGCAAATCAGTCATATTACTACTTTTTTATGTTTGACTAGGTGACATTTGTTCTAATAATTGTCGCTGAGCTACAGTGTTGGGAGGGTTGCCGATGCCTTGGGCGAGTTTACCAAATGTACAAACAGGTTGAAATTGTAGAGCCAACTTATACTCCTATTTTCTAAGCTGCGTTCAAATTTCTAATTATTACTTTTCTAATCACAGGGCTCACTCGTCTTTTGGTAGCATTTGCAATTTTGTCACATTACTACTTCGTTTATGTTTAACTGGACGAAATTTATTATAATAAATAGGACTTTCTTATTGGGAACTTCTCAGTTATTCGCCGATCCCCCAGAGTTGGTGGGTTCCACTGTCCAAGGTATTGCTCTATTCTACTTTAAAAGTAAAAATCTTGCCCTGGTTCCGTCGTGCAGCCACCACAGCCATACAGCTTCAGCTACGACACCACTGACGAGTTCGGTACCCGCCTGACCCGCGAAGAGACTGGTGACGCCAACAACTACAAGGTCGGCTCCTACAGCTACACCGACCCCAGCGGCATCACCCGTACCGTCAAGTACACCGCTGACGCCGAGGGCTTCCACGTGACCATCGAGACCAACGAGCCAGGAACCAAGAGCTCCAACCCAGCCAATGCCCTGTACTCCTCAGCCGCCGTTGACGTCGCCCCGGCCCCTGCGACCCCTGTCGTCGCCAAGCCCTTTGTCCCCGCCGTGAAGCCCGTGGTCGTGCAGGCTGCCCCACACCCAGCTCAGTTCGCCATTCATGCTGAACCCGTGTCCTTTGGCACTGCCCACCATGTGGCCCCAGTCACATTCACCATCGGCAAGGCCAAGGCTTAAGTCAAGCATATCCATACATCACTAACACGGACCACGGAAACATAAAAGACGACCACACGCACAGGTGGCTGGAGCTGGAGACCTTTGCAGCCCATCGTTCATTCTACCTGAAAAAATACTACACACTGTTATATTTGTACAATGAAGTTTTATCGAATGTTCTCGTTAATGAAGACTCTAAAATAAATTTAAATTTATTCTCAATTTTGCGTAGTTTACTATTGAAACTCACATCTGCATTTCACTCTGCAGGATGAATGTATTGATTGATTGATATGTGGGGTTTAACGTCTCGAAACCACCATATGAATATGAGAGACGCCGTAGTGGAGGACTCCGGAAATGTTGACCACCTGGGGTTCTTTAACGTGCACCCAAATCTGAGCACACGGGCCTACAACATTTCTGCCTCCATCGGAAATGCAGCCGCCACAGCCGGGACTCGATCTCGCGACCTGCGGATCAGCAGCCAAGTACCTTAGCCACCAAACCACCACGTCGGGGCAGGATGAATGTGTTTGGAAAAAATGTTTTCACTATTCGCTTGATTCCGGGTAAGGAATCTTTCACAACGCCATATGTTTTCAGTGTCGACAAGTCAAAAGGAACCTTTTGTGACCTTGTTTCATATTTCTCGCCATAAATCAGAAAAAAATTTTTTTCGCGCTGAGTAAGATGCACAAGCCCTTAAATTAAAGAATAATTACAATCATAATCTGCCTTGACAGTGAAACTGCCAGGCTGAGATAAGTCTTGGTAGAAACAAATCTTGAAGGAAGATCGCAAGGTTTCACACCTGGTCAGTGCGAACACTAACCGAACAAATGATTTTTAGCGTAACTGGACAGCGCAGAGAAATTCTGTATTTTTTCGCAACTTGGCAACCAGACGATTGTCCTATATCAAAATATTCTCTAACGGTTTTAAACTTTATGAAGCTTACCATCGTGACATACTACCTCGAATACTGCGATGTAATGTCGTGACACTTGCAGTTTTCTTTTTTTTCTGGTATGGCCAGAACTTCGATAATGAGAAATAGGTTGTTGAAAAAAGTTGAGTTCGGCCGGACAACGAAACAAGAAATGAGACAACGTGCTTCATGAATAGCGCAGAAGGGCCGTCTTCACGCTGATTCAACATAAAGTAAGCAGATCAACTAGCTCAGCTAATAACGTTTGGACTTACCAATGCCTATTTGGTTGTTATTTTGTAAGAATGTCTTATCCGGCCATATAACTTACCGGGTGCTTGAGCTTCGCCTTCATGAGTAAAACAAGATAGCGTGATTGGGCCTGAGTGTGTCGCTTTTCAATTGTTCTAGGTGTGTGCTTAAACCATGCTGCAAAGAGACGAACGTGTGTGCTCGTAACAGTCACCGTTTCAAATATCCTGAAACACGTACTGGAAGTCCCGTTGCTAAGTGCCCACTGCGTCATGATTCTTGCTTATGCGAATCACTGAAGAGGCCACCAGTTGTCAGTAAAGCAAATCATGAACCTAGAGGGTTGGTCACTTTGTTAATGCTTTTCCTCACTAGGATTATTAAATGTGCAGAACGCTTTCTAATGGGTGGGTGTTTGAAACACACACTGACTGCGCTATTCGCACGTCTTGTGTCTGGGCGCTATTTTATACTTGCGCCACTAAATATTACATCCCTTAAAGAGACTACTTCACTACACATAACATTTATATTAGAACTTTTGTTTTCCTGAAGCCCTTTGTTGTATTGGCATATCTCTGTTGTAGTATGCGTACTTATAGCCCGCAGAAGGCCTAGCTTGCAATGCTTACTCGGCGCGAAGAGTTTTTAAACTTATTTTACTTGGGTCTTTCTTAATTTTTCGCTCGTGGACAATGGTTACTTTGGGCTCACAATCAATGACGCCGACGCCAAAACTGACACTTGAATTCCGCAAGACAAACTCGCCGACGGTATATCGTGCCAGTATGCCGCAAATGGCGGTAACGACAGTAAGTAGACGGTAATATCAAGATGGGCTACCAGTGAGGTGAAGACATGAACATGAAATGAAGTGAGTTTTATTAGTGCAGTGAAACCGTGCTTGAGGGTTTGGATTGTATCACTGATATTTTCTTAATTGAGTAATCAATAAAAAACGCTAGGCTTGCGTTCAATGTACAGCACAGTCACAACAAAAGCTAGAAGAACGCCCGTTCAGAGCCTTTTTTAAACAAACAGCTACAAGCATACTTGCAGAGTGTCCACTAAGCCATGAAGTATCATAATTTTTGTGTAGCAGGAAGGCATCTACTATTCCATCCTTCGTCACTCTCCGGAGAAGTGCGGTACCTTCTGCACACTTGCAAAAACTTTCGTGCAATTTTTTGTGCTGTGGTTGAGACGGCGATAGAGGATCATTCCTAGCGCTATTCTTTAAGGTTGTACCTTTAGACGACCCACTCGTGACGCAATTAACAGTGTGTGACGCCTGGCTACTCCTTTGCTCTTCTAAAGCACATTAGTACACACATTAATGTGATCACTTTCTCTACATGAAGCCTACCTGGTGTCAGTGTACAACGACGTTTCAAGCAGAGGTGCCGCTCAGTGGTTGAATACTGGGTAAGCATGCAGGAGACCCGCGTTTGAATCCCATTGTGCCCTTGGTGTTTTTAGGTCTTTCTCATTTTGCATGATAGTGGATACGCGCAGCGGCGGACAACTATACTGTGCACGCAATCATTGTTTTCATCTCACAACGGCTTCCGTGGTGAAACTCTTCCGCCATACCAGTGATCATCATTGATTTCTTTTATTTATTCGGCGTAGTATAATAAAGCTTTTCAACTATTCAATTTATGGGGAATCTTAAGAGTGACGCAACCTCTCTGAAATCACTCTATAATACTGAATAACAGCCTCGACTGAGATGCTTATTGGCGTGCACGCTTAGTGAATTAGACTCCCAATCTTCTGTCGGCTGCTTTCTAGCGTCTAGAGTGATGGCACAGCTATCGAAGCCAAACGCTTTTCCTCTGCTATACCACACTGCCCATACATCATACAGAGCAGCCATAGTGCCCATACACTAAGAAGAGCAGACAAGGAACTGACAATGGGTAAGTATAGAAAAAGTGAAGAATACCAAAAAGCACCTTAGGGTGACCTGCTTTCTTGTGCAGTTTTCCGGGCACATTAGCGCAGTTGAAACACCTTTAATTACGAGCCAAATTTCGTGCTTGGCACCAATACTGTCTCTTCAAAGCAATCTTTCTGAAAACAATGTCGCCACTTACCTCGGGCAGGCCATTGTTCTTTTGCGTCTTCTCGTTCTTCTCATCTTTCTGTAGTTCCTTATTAGCAGCGATTTTGAGGTGGGAAACATCGGCACACACTGTATGCTGCACCCGCCCCCAGGCTTGACATCTGTAAAGCTGAAACAGCATTCGCATCGTGGTTTGTCCCGGCAAGTTTTTTTTATGGCATTCATTTTGATATGGAGCTCACGCGTAATGCGAGTTCCTCACTCGCAACCAACGACACCTAAACCCAGTGACAATTCTTCGACACGAGCTCGTTAACACTATCGTGCTGTAATTGCATGGTTTGTTGTTATTAGGTTATATATTGTCAGAGGATTATGCGATGAAACACAGAATTTGTGTTCAATTGGCGAATACTTGTAATGTACCGACGTGAACATGATGCACTGACTGGCAAGAAATACATTTATGACGAAGCCTTCAGAGCTTTGAGCCCGTCAGATTCATAATGGTGAGTAGCGGATTCAGGCCACTAGGACGAACAAAAATAATTCAATGTCTTACATTGCTATCGACTGTACACAACCTCGACTGTGCTGCTGCAACTTTGCTTGCAAAGAAGAAGCCTGCCTTGGATCGACACTTATTTACAACGGAGTAGCTCTTTGAGTCAGTCAATAAGCCACAAGCGGTGAACACAAAACCATCGTAGATATAGATCCTAAACTTTTGACTCACACCCACTATGGGTGATTTACCAAGAATCGGGCAGCTTAACACAAAGGAGTATATATATATTTAAATACAGCCAAAAGAATATTAACAGAAATATTGACTTTTTGTAAATTATTCCTAACAAAAAGTTTGAATGCATTAGTTCCTACTCAAGGAGCAATAAATGATAGATGTCACACAAAATTTTTCAGTAGTCTACATTGGTTAACTGAGAACCTTTAGGAGTAGAGGTTACCGAATAAATCTCTTTCACTGTACATTGACATCTTGCACGGCTTCGCACACTTTCCCGTTGCTGTGCCCTAGGGTATGTGCACCCAGGGATAGTAAATTTGACGTTGTCAAAGCTATTCCAAGGATTCGTATCGGAATTGTTAGCGATATTTTTCCTAATGATGAAAACTTTCTACAAGAAATAAAAATGTTTCACAGCTTCCTCTTCTCCACAAAAACAACAGAGCGGGAAGGGATTCAAGCCTGTTCTAAACAAATAAAAATTTAATGGAGAAATACGACAGCGTAATCGAGTGATTAATATTTCCAGGTGTCGTTTATGACATAGGAAGTTTTTCAGAGTGTCATTATATGGTCGAAGTCCGGAGAATTTTTTAAAGATGGTGTAGAGAATCCTCGCATCATCAATTGCCTCTGAAATCTAGACGCTACTATAAAGGTTGTTGTAGGGGCAATATTGATAGCTGGTCTTTTATTGATAGCTGGGCAATATTGATAGCTTTTGTTTGCGTCTCTCTCAAATTTCCTCTCATGAAAGACGCTGAACCAATGACACCGACGCCGTAACATATGCAAAGCAAACTCTTTAACGCTATCGCGTTAAAGGCCTAGTTGAAGCTGCTGCGAGCATGGAAGACAAGTAGAAGTAGACAGTCCTGTTCTCCTCTTCTCTACTTATACATGTGTTAAGTGATCCGTGCAGTTTTAACAAAGTCTAAACTTCGCACCAATAAGTCACGTAATAAATTCCACTCATATTGTGACGCAATGGTGAAAGCAGCCTTTATTAGGCTCTGAAGACACGAAGAAGTCACCACAGCCGAGGCAAAGAATACAGGAAAGCTGAGTTCCCACAACCAATAAAGACGATGACCACCTATGATGATGAACATGTATGAAGAAGGTATACGTGCCTAACGAATGCCCACACCAACCCCTCCCCCCCTCACCCCAATGAATGCGATCATCCTGACGACAATATAAAGCGAAAGGAGGATGCCTTTTGGAGGAAGTGTTTTGTTCCCGATTCATTTATTAGCGACAATTTTCTCCAGTAGAAAAAAAATCAGTGCCAAATTCCTCACTTGTCTATATTCAGCTATATACGTTCTGGTTTCGCACATTATAATGCAACGATATGAGCTGGTTTGCATCTTTGGACTATGAAATGCCCCCATAACTCATCTTTATGAATAAAGATACACTTTGACTAATATTACCAGAGCGTTTTCTATTCTCAGTAAGCTTGCCAACTTATTTTATTCAACAAATAACACAATCTGCAGTACTGTACCCAAGAAAAGCCACTGACATCCAGCAACCTTGAAAAACAACTCACGTCCTTAGCCTTTACAAAAGTGCAGGGGAGGTGCAGTATCGCATTGCGTACGGTTTTCACATCTCTGATAGGGAGGATGACACGGTACCGGAATGTGTCCTCCAATAATAGCGACTCCCGTTCATTGCTCCTTAAAACGTCAAACTAATTCATCCTGGGACCTGTATAAAAGCAACAGATCTTGATGCGAAGGCCCAGTCTCGTTCTCATCTCGACCAAAGGAACGCTACCTTTCAACAAGCCACCATGTACACCAAGGTGCGGTAGAGCTTGTCTCTGTAGCATTTGTTTCATTCTCTAGGTGGTCCCTATGCTTACGGATTTTTTCTCTCGTACAATGCAGGTCCTGCTCTTTTGCCTTCTGGCCGTCGCTGCCTCTGCTCCCGTAGAGGAATACGTGAGTTTTCAGTGATTGTCTAGGTTAGGTTTAATGGCAATACTGAGAGGCTGAATTTAGAGCTGTTTTTTTCAACCAGTTGGCAATTGATTTGCTTCTAAAAAATTGTAGCTCGATGTACGACTCATTTTTTTTTTGGGGGGGAGGGATCAGAAAAACAGCAGCCAATCGATGTCGCCTACCTGTTGTAAAACATTCCTAGCGACATCTAGTGGCACAAGATTGGTTACCCGCCAGCCATTAACGATATACAAAGTCGCTTGATCAGTAGCAAAGTGTGAAACTACCGTACAGCATCTGTACAAACGCATTTCTTCAAGTATGATAGGTATGTTATTGTCTCATCTAATCCAACAGGCAAAACACTTGCGAAAGCATTGTTGCTGAGGAATATTTGTAACAGTCTCAGGTTTCAATGTTACGATACATTTATCGCCCCTACAGGACACACAACCATTCTTCAACTGACTAAATAGATCAACTCTCGTTATAGTAGGTACACGAAGCAATCGTTCTTGCAGCTACAAATTCATGTTTGTTTTTCTCCCCACTACAATGCGATAAGCCAATGATACTCAGCAACCAGCGCAAGTGGCGCTGAGAATACCATTTACAATCGTGCCAAATTTACCAGCATATTACATTGACACCTTAAAAAATTGCTGTGAAAGCTACCACTTTTGTAGACGAACATAATATAGTACTATGCACAAGTTCCTTATTTCGAGTTATTCTGCTCTGTTCTCTCCGTGCAGCCACCACAGCCATACAGCTTCAGCTACGACACCACTGACGAGTTCGGCACCCGCCTAACCCGCGAGGAGTCCGGTGACGCGAACAACAACAAGGTCGGCTCCTACGGCTACACCGACGCCAACGGCATCTCCCGTACCGTCAAGTACACCGCTGACGCCGAGGGTTTCCATGCCACCGTCGAGACCAATGAGCCAGGAACTAAGAGCTCCAACCCAGCCGATGCCCTGTACTCCTCCGCCGCTGTTGAGGTCACCCCGGTTGAAGCTGCCCCTGTCGTCGCCAAGCCAGTTGTCACCGCTGTAAAGCCCGTGGTTGTTCAGGCTGCGCCTGCCGTTCACCCTGTGCACCCAGTCCCCGTGGCCCCACTCACCCTGGTACACCAAGCTCCAATCACCGTCGGCAAGGCCAAGGCATAAGCGAAACATCTCCAAACGTCACAAGCTAAGACTGCGGAAATAAACAAGCTGTTCACACACGAATATTGAGCTGCGGCTGGCCGACCCGGCCACTCATCGTCAACCGTGGCTGAGCACATGCTCCTAGGAAGAATTCTACCCACAGGTTTTTCTATTCTGTACTGTTAATAGTTAAGGCAGAAGTTTATACATGTTCCCGTTCAGAAATCTATTTTAAATAAATAAAATTTTATTATCAATTCAGTCTGTGTTCAGTCTGTCCAGTCCAGCCCAGTCTGTGTTCGACGCCGGTTTCGGCATTTCACTACGAAGAACGAAGCACCTGACTGAAAATGGCTGACTAAATGTTAAGCTTTATGTAATTGATGATTAATATCAGAGCTAGTAAAAACTAAGGAGAAGTTGACAATGCACTTTCAGGTATTACCAAGTTCGTGTATCTATACACTCTTAAATAAAGTAGAAAATTAATTGCTCCACATAGGCTAAGAAAACTAAATACTGCCTAAAAGGAAGCAAAAGTAGCATCTTGCATGCCCAGAGTACTTGACCCCCTCTTTTACTGATCAAGTAACAGGGGGGGGGGGGGTGAATGCACTGCTAAGAGCTGTGCATCCTAAAATGACATGTGGGCATCCTTATTATTGGTTTTAATGCACACGTTAATTGCACGTATAGGAGGTGGATGCTGGCTAGGGTTTTTGCATTTTTTTAGACATTGTTTAACGCTTTTAACCCTAAACTTAGGCTGTAGAGTTCCTACATTGTCTGCAAATTACAGTGCGTGTATTTTCATTCGTCTACAAGGTTTACCTGAAAGTTCTAAAAGATCACAAGATTGGTTGTCACCTCACACCTCCCAACGTTTTACGTACTACCAGCTAAGTTTTTTTTTCGGACTGAAGTTAATTTCTAACTTGCCTGGCCTTTTCGGGCACGTTAACTGTCAACAATATGTCGGTACGAGAAGCTTTATTGCATTAAATTGAGTTCCACTATCAATGCCGGCTTGACAAATGACTTTTCAACCATAATTACTAGCGGAGACAACACACCTTCTAATCAGATACTGAAGAAAGAAGTGTGCATTCAAGGGCTTGTTTTCCTTCTTATACACAATATCGATGAGGTCTAAGAGCCAATCATGCCAGGGAAAATATAGGGGATGTTATTGAAGTAAGGGTAATGTAAGTGTGAAGTGACTGAAAAAATAATTTCTCATGGGCAGGGACCGAACGTGTGACCGTCGATGCTCCATCAACTGAGCTACCACGGCGGCTACCCGCCGTCCACTTTAAGTAATCTATATGGGGATCGAACGTGGGAGAGTCAGTCAGCGCTACGAGTAGCCGTGAGGGCTCGTGTATAGACCATTCTTGAACTGCCTGTTTAATGCCACGTATCACGTGAACACACTACGAGCTGGCGGCTGATCAATAATCCCTAGAAGGCACCAAGTCTGCCAGAACAAGACACTCGCTATAAATCATGAAAGGAATTCTACATTCAGGGCTTGTTTTCTTTCTTAGATCCCAGGTGATCGAAGTTTCCGGAGCCCTCTACTACAGAGTCTCTCATAACCACATGATGGTTTGGGGACGTTTAACCCCACGTATCAGCCAATCTTTCTTAGACACCTTCAATGAGATCTAGCAGACAAGCCTGCCAAGGAAAGTAAAAAGGACGTTATCAGAAGTAATTCCAGCTAAGGGTTCGACGAAACACTGTCTGGTCCAGTAAATGCGTTGTTGAACAAATTTGTCACTCACCAATGTCAAAAGAAAAAAATAAGGCGTTACGGGATCTGTATGGATTTCTTGTTCCCAATGGAATGATGGCTAAGCAACAGGTTCTCATGTAGCGTTGAACGCATGACCCAAAATCTGGGAGTGCACGTGGTTTAGTGTGCCAAATGATCTGTTGATTGTGTTACTCGTTGTGTCAATGATCAGTGATTTGAGGTTCAGTTTCGTCAAATTCTTCGCCGTATCCATGGTACGTGCGTTGTCCTAGTTTATTTCATGGCCGGTGTTCTCGGCATGCTCTGCGGGTACATTTGTCGCTGTGTGACCCTTGGTGACGTCATTCTTATGTTGCTTTAGACGCCTGCAGAAAAGTCCACTTTCGACAACGTACACCAATTCGCGATCGGCGCATAGAATCTTGTAGTTGACATCAGCAAAGTGTTGCCGAGAAAGACGGTCCTTCACATTCGGCAAAGCAGCTTAAGGCTTGCTTGCTGGGACATGCGCACTTTTTTCACTCTCACCTCCACAGCTGCGAGTGACACTGGTTAGCATTCGTTGAATTAGACACCCATGATTGCTCAATAACATGTTCACGAATGTGACCGCCACGATAGCACCACCTAATTCGTATAGCATCCTAAGCGTTACCGAAGGTTGTAGGTTTGGTCACTACCAAATCCAAGGGGGTTTTTGATTCAGTATAATTTATTTACACTGATGTATTATTACTACATTACTGTTATAGCACAAGAATAATATACCCTATACATGAAGCTTCCCCTAACTCTGAGTTGCTTCAAATAGGTTGTGCCTAGCAAAGAAGGAGGCTCTTCATTAAGTCTCCCTATTTTCTTCATATCTGATTCGGAGGCGTAAATCAGCAATGGGAAGCAGCAAACTACGTTCAGCCTGTCCGGCAATCTGAATTCATGTAAAAAATTTAGTAAGTATCAATGTTCTATGAACGAAAACACCTTTTCCTGATTTAAGGAAACCAAGAACCCTTGCGCACAGCGGGTAGTGGTGAACTGAATTATGTCGCGCGTTAAGCATGTATGGGTGGGTGTGTCTCGGCCGGAACAGAACAAACATGGTGGGGAGTGATTATTGATTTGAAATACGGGTTGATTCGGTGCACAAAAAGGTGCACCGAAGAACTTGTGAGCGACATGCAGAAGAATAATAGGGCACCATTCTTCTGGTCGCATGAACATTGCGTCTTTCTTGGGGAGTGGTGGAATACAGCCTCTGTGGAAACAGCTTGGGAGTGTAATATCTCTAAAACATTTGCGAATGCCGCGTGACATAAGTGGAACATTTATAGGCCAGAACTGTACTTAAAACTCAGCAGGTACTACGTCAGGCCCGGGGGTCGAGCCCCTCTTCATTGCGTCTAATGCACCCTTTATTTCGTCTTCGGATAACGGTGATAGCATTACATCATATGCAATGTTGGAATCATGTGGTAATTCTTACAGCAGGCGATGCGAAGAAACGGATTCTGGGTAACAGACAATAGCAAGAGATTGAGCGATTGACTGAAAGAGTTGAGTGAACGCCTGAAAGCCCTACGTACCAGCAGCAGCTGGTGTGGTAGTGTGTAGTGAGTGGACAGGCGAGCCTGGTGGACGAAGCAGAGCTCTGCGTGCATACCTTAGCACCTCAGGGTGTGCACACGGTGCAAGTCAGCCAAGAGCGAGAAAGCGTGCATATATTACGTTGGTATCATTCAACGAGCTCCTCTTGCCATGCCCTTATAACGGAAGATGTACTGGGATTACGATTTTTTGCATTAACAATGAAGCTTCCTTAGACATATGGGCGCGAAGTATCCTACCCGAAGCACTGCATTGCTTGCGCAACTGCTCTCTGAGGCAGTCCCAGTTACCAATTGGTGATGCGCGTAACGCTTGGAACCATTTTTCCGTAGACTGAGAGTCCTGGAAGGCGCGACAATCGAGACGCCACGGTCTCTGAATCGTCAGCGTCCTCGATGGGAGTTGAAAAGAGAACATATCCAAGCGCTGGTCACTAATGTACAATAATGTCGATGGCAAAGACATTAATTACCCCAGTGTCGTGAACGTAGGGCTTCCGACTGGGCCTTGCGTACATCCGATCCAATTCTGCTGCTCACCGCTTCTCGCAACCAAATATAGGCTTAATTTCTACTATGTACACTTTCATGTATACGTTAGTCAATACTAGTTGCTGCACTAGACCCTCAAGTTCTCTGGCATTCCAGTTTGGTCAGCCACGACCCATACCTCAAGTAGAGTACCTCGAGAGTCTGTGTGTGAGTCCCATGCGCATTAGAAATCTCTTAAGGGTACCACAAGTTGTGAATTTAAAAGGAGTGCATCAAGAGAGCGAAAAATGCGCTAGAGTTCACAGACGCCGCTGGGGCGTCACACCGATAAATCTTATATGCAACAAAAAGAAGGTCCAGTTGAACGTCAGCACGCGTTCGTAGGCATCAAAACAAAAAATAAAACAGTATGCCCAAGCAAATGACTTCGGTTAAAAATGACTCCAAAGCCAGTCAAACGCGCGCAGGCGTACGAAAAGAAACAACACCGGACGAGCGTTTGAAAGCCTGTATATTAGAGAGCTTAAAAAAATGGCAGCATATCCACGGAGTGAATGATGGATAGTGGGGCGAAAAATTCGTCCGTCCATGCGTCCGTCAGTGTCACCGTCCATGCGTCCATCAGCCAGTCCTTGCGTGCGTCTGTTCGTGCGTCCGTCCCTGCGATCGTCCATGCAGCCGCCCCTGCGTCCGTTCATGTTTCCATCCATGCATCTGTCTATGTGTCCATTCGTCCATCTATTCAACACTCCAAGTACCACCATCTCGCATCTTTTCATCATATATTCCCCATATAGAAGCACCGCCATCCAGCGGACATTCCAAGGACTAAACGACAGGTGGCACACGCACACTTTCTTACGGCTTGCGCTTCGGGTCCACTTCCCACCTTTAAACACCTCGAGTTCATGGTATATACTAGTTCACTGTATTCATGGCACTGCAGCTCACGCTCGCTAAACCTTTCTAAAGCTAAGGAGGTTACACCCAGCGAGTATAACGTAGCAACCCTTTCTTGTCAGATAGTGCTCAATGTACATGCCAATGGCTGCTAATGTTGATTGCAACCTGCGCGTTAACTAAAAGGCGAATGCTCCTGTCTCTCATTCCCCACTAGCAGCCATTGACATGTACATTGAGCACCATTTTTCATTGTTCAACAACGCACAGAAGAAGTCTCTCACCGGCACCACCTGGGAGGTCAAAATGTTATACTTGTAACATACTACGGTGGATGAACGGGTGCCGCTATGAAGAGCTTCGCCCATAAATGTTATTTGGTTGCACGAACAGTAAGTCACAAGACACTGAGCATGCGAAATTTAACACCTCAGCATGTTTTTGTCGATTGTGGAAACCCTTACCGTTAAGGGTCACAACTCTTGGCGTTAGAGCCATGGCGAGAAGTAAAATTGATTATGAAAACACTGGAAGTAGGGTTACCTTTAGCAGATGTGTGAGCGGCTGCCACGCGAGCAGCCAAGCCATTTTTACGGCCAGGCGACCCGCCGGAGGCACGCGGCTTCTGGAGCCACCTTGAAGTCCGCAGGGAACTTCTGTCTCTACTGGGGTCATCAGAGTCACTACTGGATATTCTCAGGCTTTGGTACCAGGTCTCCCGAGCGAGGATGGCACAAAGGCGTCTAAACTGTTCTGGTTGAAGTCACGAGGGGTGGCGTCTTCATCGATTTGTAGGAGCGTCTCACTCGCAGTGCAGTTCGACTCCTCATCGATGGAGACCTAGTCGTCTTGGGATGGAGTCTCTTCGATGACGTGTGGACTTGCGCTTGAATATGTAGACTTAGAATGAGCGTCAGATGTACAATCTCGTTGTGGAATCACCCAAAAAGCGCATTGTCTCGTGAAGGCTCAGCCTATTTCGCGTCCATGATTACTGGACGCGAGAAACTGGACGAGCCCCTAGAACATGGCAAATTTTGCGGGTCAGGGCTGGCCGAGAATGCAATATGCGTTTATTGCAGTGTCTCGATTTCCACCCGTTTTGCCCGTTTAGCGGGGCTAGCATTGACAAACCCTCGCCCTTGTTCTTGGATAGCATTCCTGCTTGAAGTGACGAGAAATCTTGGGTTGCCACCTCAGAGTATGACTGTCAGATGGTGCACGCGAGTGTGGCATGTGGGTCACCGTAGTGGTGGCAGGGTAGCGAACAACCCTTCTCGTCGTGGCCATAAAAGCCACGTCTTCCATAAAATGGGACCTTTTAGTTCATACGGAAGTGACCACTGTCACCCCATTGACGACACAGCCACTGTATTCTGTTGTAATCATAGGTAACACGGTGACCTGCGATACTGAGGTAGATAGGCACAGCTGACGAGGTTTTCATTTCCATAAAGAGATATCGCGGCCCTGTGGAAACAGTCGGGCGCAACCCCATCAGTTCTCTGCTGATATGAAGCACCTTCCTGTAGGGGAACAGTGCTTCAGCGAGGACTTCGCTAGGGACGTGGCACGGCCGGAACAGGAGGGTTACTTCGGTGACGTTGGTCCCAGGAGTACGATTGTGACGCGCTCAACTCGGATGACGAGGTGTGACGGGTGCAAGATTTTGGCCAGTGTGACCTCACTGTTGACGGTAACTTGGTAGTTGCAGCCTCCAAAGTGCTGAACGCAGTATACTTCTTCGATTCCTATTATTGAATGCGTCATGACAACGACGTATTCAGAACTTGCCCCCTAAGGGACGGTGACATCGAAGACTAACGCTTTCTTCGGTGGCTGACTTGTCATGATGGGCACCCGCTTGCACAAGAATGCCCTGAAACTTTGGCGACACTGCCTCTTCGACGCGAAAATTCGACAAGCGCTTACTACGGTAACGAAGAACGAAAGTTCTTCTGTGAGTTGCTCAATAATAAAAATTAGCAGCGCGCTCGTTAACTAAACATCGACGGCAGGGCTCCGCGTCCCATCGGGGTCTTCTGTTTCTGACAGCCCATTACCAGTTATTGGCTTGTTCCAGTAGGAAATACCGGTCTATCACTGCGTACTTTGCGCCTCCCTAGGTTTCCCTCTTACGCAACGCTGTGCTGAGAGAGAGTCAGCGTGGACGTCGCCGCCAGTTTATGCCTGCTACATCGTTCTTTTAGTGAGAGATGTCATTTTTTTAAGCAACCGCTGTAGATTATCTCATTGTACTGATATTGTATTCGCAAAATACTGATTCAGCTGTGTGCCTGACAATTTGATGCGGCGCTTTCCTTTTTTTTTTTGTATATGGGTGATGTTATTATGCGAGGAGGACTAACGACTACATTTTTGGTTAGTGTTATGCTCGCAAAATAATGGTGTGTCACAGCACACTTTTTTTCAGTAGACCAATGACTAGTTAAATTAGTTGTAGATCCAGATGAATTTGTATATTTAAAACCTCCAACTATACATTTTATAGTTTGTTTTTTGACTGCCTTTCTCTTAACTCTTACTTGCTCACTGCAACGAATCACAACAGTGCAATATAAGCCCACATGAAGCTCTCAAGTTTACTGAAAAATAGGTCCAACATTAGTTGAGATGCCTTTTGCTGCTAAATCGGGTTTCACTTACGCTTATTTCCGAAAAAGATAATTTTCACCAAGCAGTTCACATTATCATGCAAGCTTCTTCGGTATGAAAGTACTTTCCGGTGTTGTTTCTTCTTTTTTCTGAAATGAGCATTGCCACATGCTGCAAGCAATCAGGATTGTAGACTATATAACGACGACTAACTAGTTTGACTAAGAGTCAGTGACTTTTTGAAGACACGCATGCGATGGCCTTGTGGAAGGTCTTTGCCATGCCCTCTCCCTCGCACACTCATCGCGTGCTTGGTATTTTGCATCGAAGCACGTTGCAAACCATCGGTTCCCTTTTTTTAATTTTCTCATCATCTATTTTCAGGGGCAGATCACGTTTCCTTTCTTCAGCATTTTGGGAATGCGTTCCATGTGAGTATAAAAGCTCAGCCACTTCACCGTGAAAAGTCAGTCAGTTCTGATCCGCAGGAGCAGCACAGCTACGTCTACTGCCATGTTCACCAAGGTGCTGTGGACTCATATTCCGTCTTGATCTGCGGCTTAAGTCATTGCGCCTCTCTACTACAGGTTTTTTACTCGTGGGGTGCTTTCTTTTTCAGGTCGTCCTCTTCTGCCTCGTCGCCATTGCCGCTTCGGCTCCCACTGAGGATTATGTAAGCCGTTAGCAGTTCTGCATTTATGACGCTGCATAGTTTTGGCGCTTGCATATCATGGGATATGTTGCATCAGATATAAGCTTGAACATGAATATACTGATAAGCAGAAAATTTAAAAGACACAGAAGTTGATTGATTAATTGATTGATTTGTGGGGTTTAACGTCCCAAAACCACCATTTCATTATGAGAGACGCCATAGTCGAGGGCTCCGGAAATGCCGTCCACCTGGGGTTCTTTAACGTGCACCCAAATCTGAGCACACGGGCCTACAACATTTCCGCCTCTATCGGAAATGCAGCCGCCGCAGCCGCGATTCAAACCCGTGACCTGCGGGTCAGCAGCCGAGTACCTCAGCCACTAGACCACCACGGCGGGGCAAAAGGCACAAAAGTTGTTCTTGATCAGTAATATTGAAATACAGATAAGTAATTGAAAAAGAAGCAAGGAATAAAAGAAGGCATTAATGATCCTACACTTTTTTACGCGTACTTAGGCGGAAATTTTTTGTTACGCAACACAGGACACTATGAAATTAATATTCGAAAGCATTTCTCAACGCCTTGTCTAAAAACAAGATTAGAAAATGTTGAACCATTTCGAGATACCCTTTGTTTAATTCAGCAATACAGTACCATGTAGAGTATACAGTAACCTGATGACACCTAACCAGGCACGTAGCCAAAACTATTTTTGAGAGAAGGCACCTTCTTAATTTAGATGTGGGCACCCCCTTGATATAGTCATTTTTTGCTTTCTATGTCATAGTGAAAAAAACATTTTGGAGGAAGAGGGGGGGGGGCACCCACTCAGTGAGCCACCGCCTGGCTATGTCTTTGCTTTATAGTGACGCTCTCTATTCTTAAAAGTTATAAACCATTTAAACAATGTCAGCACATACTAAACAGAGACGACTACACTTCTTTCACGCAGCCACCTCAGCCATACAGCTTCAACTACGACACTACTGATGAGTTTGGAACCCGGTTGACCCGCGAGGAGTCCAGTGACGCCAACAACAACAAGGTCGGCTCCTACGGCTACACCGACGCCAACGGCATCTCTCGTACTGTCAAGTACACCGCTGACGCCGAGGGCTTCCACGTGACCATCGAGACCAATGAGCCAGGAACCAAGAGCTCCAACCCAGCCGATGCCTTGTACACCTCTAGCGCCGTCGAGGTTGCCCCAGCCCCAGCTGCTGCCATCGTCTCCAAGCCTGCTGTCACCGCTGTGAAGCCCGTGGCCGTGCAGGACGCCCCAGCCACCGTCACCGTCCACGCCACCCCGGTCGTTCACGCCACACCTGTTGCCGTACACGCTGTTCACCCAGCTCAGTTGGCCGTGGCCAGCGCACCACTTGCCATCGCCCACCAGGTGTCTCCAGTCGCCGTCGTCCACCCAGCTCCTTTTGCCAAGAGCGCTTAAGAAGTACACGACAAACATCATCCACCGACAATGAAGTGGAGTGGCCACAGGCCAGCAAGAAATCAGCACCTCTATGAATTGGCGAAACCTTCCCGAACTTCTGCCATAGGTATTTTTTGGCTCGGAAAGTCCGCATCTAGTCTTTCTCGAGTCTCGTTATTGTCATATAGATGTATGTTATTGTCATATAGATGTATGTCATTCGTTTATCAGAGAATTCATACCGTTGTTGCCGTTTTCGCCAGAATAAATATTGATGTTACATGTAGCTGAAATGCCTCTGGTTTCTTTTTTTTTTGTCGAGAAACCACTGATATTAAGTACGCGAATATGTAATAGTTTGATATTGCCTCACCTAGAAGGTAATGGTGTGGTAACATTTCACAAGAATACTCTAGTTTAAACACCCGTACACTTTCCCAAATCTATGTCTAAATATGGTCTTAAACAGCTGTTTCAGTTCAGCTTCATTGAAATAAGTTTCTTATTGGTTTCGATTACTGATAGGGCTGTGTATCGCCGGCATTCTTTTTAAAGATGATCCTCCTTATGTAAGCTATCGGAATTGCTCAGGGGCAGCAAAGTACAGTTGTGATAAAATCAGTAAAAATAAGTAGAGGAAATTCACTACACCCATAGTAAAGAGCTGGTGCAGAACTGAAAGTCACACTGTTTACTGTGATGAAATTCACGGCACTGTAAGGCCTTATGCTTCTCAGCAAAGTGCACCTTGCTTTTTTGCCACGTTCATTATAAAGACTGCAGGAATAGTATGTACTTAGGCCCCCACTACTAATATACTCAGTAGACGAACTGTGTAGTAGTTCGGAGGGAAAGAAAGCTTGCTTGGTCGTCGTGGTTCCCCATAGCATCGATACTTTACAACTTCATTTCGTCTTTTTTTGGCGACGACCACGCATGGCACAATCACAGTACAAGTAAAATGTGTCGACTTGAATACTTGAGCGTTTTATTTGTACTGAAAGCCACAAAAAATGATATTTTGCCAAAATATAAATTAGGCATGCACTATGTACAAGATTACATTCAGTTCATGAATGTCCGTACATACCAGATTACGTAGCCTTGGATCTGAAACCTGCATTGCATAGCATTGTGACAAAACTCTATATTCACATCCAAATTAATGGCTTTCTCGAGGTTGACTGGTCTGGTAACGCCTGAAGCTAAGCTTTCTTCTTTTTTTCAGAGTGCAAGAACGCCATTCTTAAGTTTTCTTTATATCCTGAATCAAGGGGATGTACAAACTCTCTGTGGTAGAAACTCTTATAGACCAGCCTGAATCAACTAAAGTCATGTGTAAATACAGAAAGAGGGATAGAGATATGACATTAGCAGTAATGATGTAAAGAATAAACATGAAGATGGGGCTTGATCTACTGGAATAGCCAAACACTCTTCGAAGTTACATATGGAAGCCATGAGCGTGAAAAGATTTTTTGTCATTTATTGATAATGTGAACGGCAAAGATCAAGACAAGGTTCATTCTCTGTACCAAATTTTAATATTGTCGTGGATATACAAATTTCAGAAAATGCCTTTACAACGAATGTGTTTTTGTTCTGAAATATATGCGTAAAGAAGAAAGATGTGCGCACTCAAAGACGCTCTATAATCACTACTAGAGGTACCCAAATATATAGAAATTTCGAATGAAGAACCTAGTAGCCTTCTATTTCATTCGGTAATCGAACTGAATACTGCCTAATAATATGAAATATTTTTTCAACTAAAAGCCATCCACGTAATTAGCTCGATCGAACAAAACTATGCAACAGAGAGGGATAACGTTTTTGTTATTGAATTATAGAAGTATCGAGAAGCATAGACTCAAAGGTAATGAAATTATAAGCACCAACTTCATTACAGGATGATGACATTGTTGCTTAAAGTTCAGTGTCACTGTATAGCAACATGGTCATCTACACACTACAGTCATCATAGAATTCATGATGATACTTGGTCGTGAATATTTTCTCGCATTTCTGTATTACATTTGTTTAAAAACTGTTGACAAAGTATTTCGACCTGCACTTGCATATAATTTTTATGGCTATAGTTGCCACTTTATACGAGCTTTCCACCGTTTATAAAATTGTGGCATACTTTTTATTGATTATAAGTTATGGTAGTGTTTTTAAAGTGTAGTAAATATTTCTTTATTTTTATTCAAAAACGTTTTCAGTAGTATTAGACTTGGTAGCAATTCTAATCTGTCCGCTAATATAACTCTGAAAATTCACTATTAGCTGACCTCTAGTCATTACAATTAGGCAATCAATGTCTTAAAACAGCTCAGATACGCCTAAAATATTTGGAACAGTTATAAAGAAACCAGAGGCAATGACAGGCAACACAGATGCATAAAAATATTTCAGGCTAGGGTTTGAAACTTTTTGAAGCTTGATTTGTAAGTTTTATTAGGCGGGAGTGCTGACATTTAAACAACACTACCTATTCTTGATGGTTAAAAACGAAAGTTGTAATATTAGAACTTGTTCAGTCAAGTACTTGTGGGCAAGCAGTCTGATATGTATTCCGGACGCCTCTCACATTTACGTTGTGCAATATTTCCCAGGCCCACAAACACGTACGACTCGCGTGTTTTTGTTTATATGTACGCAGATGCGCTCTTTGTTCAAAAGCCAAGAGGAGGAAAAGATAAACGTGTCGAAAACGTTTGCTACCAACACCGAGATCAAGCATAGGCTCCCTGGTAAACAAACGCGAACCAAGTCCTACCTAGGAAAAAAAAAAACAACGTTACAATCACTCTATTTTATTGCCTCGGCAAGATCATTATGTCGCAACACACGCACAAAAAATTGGCAGATCCCACGTACAGTGGGAATCAATGATACTCGAAGCAACAGTTAGAAATATTGGTATGTCACTTTAAAACCAGCACAACGTTACCAGGAGGAAGGAATTGAAACCGTACATCACCTCCGTCTAATGATTATCATGTTTGGATGTGTCGTTTACCATTGTCTTCTATTCACGTCACGTGATACCAAATTTAGTATATTAGTATATGTGGAGCTAGCTAAACGGCCGCGAGCATGCTATAGGTATGTTCTCATGCTCTTACATGACACGCGTGTCAGGATTATCGTGTCTGCAACAGTCATATATTTCGTCACCTATTGACGTCTCGTAACACCAAATTTGGTATATGTGGAGCTACTAAACCGCCGCGAGTGCATCATGAATGGCCTCAGATACTCCAATGTATAGCGTTGACACTCGCGCACGCTGGGCACAGCGACGCTAGGTTAGCAAAACGCGAGCACTCTATAGTCTGACACCAGGCGCGACCAGTGTCCGTCGGCGCTGCCCGATGGCAGCCAGCGCGAAATGCGACATGCTGCATTTCGCGCCGATGCGTTACCCAGACAACTCTGCATCTCCCTCTTTTCGTGTCAGAGGTACGCCGGACGCCCTGAAACGCGCTTCCGTCCAAGTAACGCAGCGCGGCATGCACCTGTTAGTATATAGCAGGACCGGCGCCTGGCGTGGCGACGCCGGCGTGAAGCGACAAAATGAACACCGGCGAGCACGCTCACTGGGTCACGTCGAAATGTATATGCACCTTGACTGTGGCATGTAGTCATGTTCTCACATGACACGGGTCTCATGATTATCACGTTTGCACCAGTGACATACCTTCGTCATCCATTCGCGTCACGTAATACCAAATTTGGCATATGTGAAGCTAGCAAAACGGCCGCGAGTGTATCATCAGTGTGGCATATAGTCATGTCGTTACATTAAACGCATTTCGTGATTATCATATTTGCACCAGTCACATACCTTCGTCATTCATTAACGTACTGTAGTACCAAATTCATTATATGTGACGCTAGTAAAACAGGCGCGAGCGCATGCGTAGCATGTAGTCATGTTGTTACATGACACGCATCTCATGTTTATCATGTTTGCATCAGTATCATACCTTCGTCGTTCATTGGCGGCCCGTAATAACAAATTTTGTATAAGTGAAGCTAGCGAAATGAGCGCCAGCGCTTCATAAGCGTGGTATGTAGTCATGTTGTTATATGACACGCATCTCACTACTATCATGTTTGTGTTAATCACATACCTTCGCCATTCATTCACGTACTGTAATAACAAATTTGGTATATGTTAGGCTAGCGAAACGGCCGCGAGCGCATCATAAGCGTGGTATGTAGTGATGTTGTTACATGACACGCATGTCATGATTTTCTAGTTAGGGTCTTTCGCTTGTGTTCGCCATGAAATCATGTCATAACATACCAGTTTTGCAACATGCGATGTGAACAAAACCACCGCAAGAGCTGCAAGACTATGAAATGTAAATCATGGCATTCATGACATATATGTTATGTTTTTCATGTTATGTTTGTATGTTTTTCATACGATCATGTTATGTCATGCCAAGTTTGGTATCAATACCATTAATGAAACGGCCAGTAGAGCTAAACGTGTATATAGACAGATAGATAGATAGATAGATAGATAGATAGATAGATAGATAGATAGATAGATAGATAGATAGATAGATAGATAGATAGATAGATAGATAGATAGATAGATAGATAGATAGATAGATAGATAGATAGATACGCTTAATTTCACTGTAGTTCGCTAAGAAATGCTTCACATTTAAAAATTGTCTACCGATTCAATCTGAACATGGTGGCATGCGCTGGCATGGGCAAAGCTTCAAATGCGGACTTAACAGCAAAGCGCCATAGGTTATCCATTAGTTTGAACGCGAAAGTGTTCCTCACACTTGCATCACACTTGCATCAGGACCAGTGATGCAAGTGTGAGTGCATTCGCATATTAATTGAGAAGTACTCCATTGTGCGCTGGTTCCTATACCAAGAGAATAATACGTATATATGTTGGAAAAGAGAATGAAATACTTCGAAAAAATTTGAAAAATGGATTGCAGTTAGTGGGGAACAAAAGGATAGACTTTCCGTAAATATGACCACATCTGATATCTGCAGAGATAATTTCCGTAAAGCAGTAATAATCGTGACTAATTCCGCATTTAAGTAAGTGTGAAGTCGAGTGAACGAATTAAAAAAGAACAAACGAGAAATAATGATGCAATTCTCATTACTGCCTTTTCTTCACGAAGTGAAGCATTAGTTGTTTTAAGTGCCCCCGTTTCTAGGCTTGACAAATGGTTTTCCAAAATACAATTGAAGTATCTTCTGGCCAAAATTACCTATCTTTGCAAAATATGCCGTAAAATTC